GCCAGTTAGACCCTGTCCTCAGGTCCTTTCTCCCACTAGGGTCAACCCCTGTAGCTAGGCCACTTTTGTGATGGGTACAACAAGCAGAGAAATACGACCACAGATTTATTTGTCCTGCCTGAGTCTGGCAGCTGCCCCTGGCTCACACCCCAAGGTTAGCTTTATGTCAGTACTAGTTTGAAGTAAGCTTCCAAGTGATTCTTGGACATTTCCAAAGCAGAATTAAGGGCCTGAAATCCTGGCTACTTAGTTTTATTGAAACAATTAAGCTCTGATACATCTGAATTTTTTCCACTGTTGAGTAAAATAGGCATGCTGAATTCAGTGGCTGGAGTTGTAGATATTACCTGAGCAGTTCTGGCACACCCATGCAGGAGGAGGAGATGGCATTTATCAAGGGGACCCTATTTGATCAGAGATCTCACAAACCCCATGAGTCAGAGCAGAGCCTGCCAAGGAGGCTTCATTGCTGGGATACTGCTTGCCTTCAGCTGATGTACACAGTTAGCTCTCTGCTGATAAAGACAAGGGTGACATGTATCTCCTTTTCAATAAGTACAGTATGTTGGGGCCTCCTTGAGATTGTCATGTGAGTGCCTAAAATTTAAGATGTAGCAGCTTCCTATTGTACAAGTCCCACCATTTTATATTAGAATATTATATTGAAGCCAGCAGTTTAAAGAAAAAAAACAATTCCAGAAAAATACAAAATGTTATTGAGGCTACTGAGGAATGTCTAGCTTCCTGGTGGTGGTTATAACTTCGTGTGGTTATTTTAGTTAGTTTCAGGCATAAAAGTCATGTCTAGTCACAACTTAAACATTTACAGTCTGCTTTGAGGCAAACAGGGCTATTTATTCCAAGGAGTATAGTGTCTGCATTACATTGACTGCAAGATTAGAACAATAAATCACTCATTCACACACACACACACACACACACACACACACACACACAACCAAGAGATTGTAAGTTCCCATTTTAAAAGTCAGGAACTTGATTTAGGAATGTGTAAGGCAATGCTTTGAGGATTTAGTATAATTCTTAGAGTGAACTGGGGCTTTGTGAATTCTTTTTCTCCTCAAACCATTAAGGAAAATCCTGTTAATAAAATACCATTCTTATCTGCCTGGATTCTGACTCAGGGGAGCACACTGAGTATCATCCTCAGAAAGAGAACAAAGGAGATGAGAGCATAGGGAATGCTAGGAGTGTGAACTTAAGGGGAAGAGAAGACACACCAGCAAAGCCAGTTGTCCTAACTCAGAGAAGATGGGTCATTGCTGCAGCAAGCATTTGTTAGAAGCTTGCCCAATAATAAAGAAACCTCTTTCTGCCAAAGGCCAATGGTCTAGATCTCTCCAGGGATGTCCGGCTTTGCTTACCTGCCTGCCTACCCAACAGTGAATGGAGCAGAGCAGCTCTAGCCTCCTTCCTAAGGATAGATGACGTCACCATCTGCCCAGGCCTTAAACCAACCAAGGAGGTTCCCCTGCTCTTCGTGTCCCAAACGTGTTTGGAGCTCATTTCCCACTTGTTCACCTCACCTAAAATCTACTGCATCCACCCTTTACCTTCATCTCCCACCTGGATTATTGCAGACTAGATTTTACCTGGTTTCTGTGTTTCCCATCTTGCTTTCCTCTCTCATCCATTGTGGATGTCCCTAAAGTGATGGCACCTTGTTCTGGAATTCATCTGAAATTTGGAGTCAGACAGAATGTATTCATACCCCTGCTCTTCCTCTTTCTAACAGTAAAGCATATTACCTGACTTTCTGAACCTCAGTTCTCTCATATTAAAGATAAGGAAAATCAGGCATCCTTTACAGGATGGATGCAATTAAATACATTATCAGCATCTGGTACATTGTAAGAACTTAATAACATTAGTTTTAACCAATTCTATTTAGTATTCTCAAAGTAGGTGCTTTCTTTCCAGAATTGAGAGAGGTAGAAAGAGAAAGAGAGAGGGAGATAGAAATACCAGCATGAATTTACTGAATACTTAAGTGAATAACAGTGTATCACTTGACCTGCATTTACATCCCTGCCAAGCCATTCTCTTGCTTGTGTGACTTACCTGAATCCTGGAAAAATTATGCCAGCCATGTGAGCAACTCTGCTTTTTTTTGGTACCAGAAATTGAACTCAGGACCTTGTGCTTGCCAGGCAGGTGATTATGCAAATGAGCTATATCCCCAGGCTGCACAAGCCATCTCAGCATGAGCCTCTGCTTCCTTACTTGTAAAAGGAGATAATTATTATGCCCACCATAGGCCTACTCACAACACACATACTTGTTCAAAACCTTCTGATGTCCTCCTATTTCCCTTAGATAAAAAGCAGAATATCTATGGGACTTCAGTATCTGCAGTCTCGTCTCTGATGAGCTCTGTTTCATTCATACCAGGCTTTTTTTCTTCTCCGAAAGAACTGCATATATAACAGTCTGCCAAGAGATTCTTCTTCTTGTAGTCTGACTACTCCATCAGCTTCTTATCAGCATCTTTGTATGTGCCCACCAACAAACACACACAAGCACACACACAAACACACTTTCCCAGTTAACCATTATTCACCCACCAGCACACTTCACTTCCTTGGTACATCTCTTCCTGGTATGCTCTGGGTTACATGCCTTTGTAACATACTTTCACAACATTCTAGTCCCTCATTTAAACACTTAAACTCCACTTGTGTTTGTATATTTCTGAAATTATTTGATCAATATCCCTCTCTACTATTAGTTCAATGAAATTACTAGTCCTACTAATCCTGGAGCATGAGCTAATCTTGAAACATAGTATAGAATTATTACTTCATGAGTGAATGAATATCATGGAGATTAAGTGAACTAATGTTATACCTGATCTGTACAATTAATGGGCAAATAGTATCCATGATAGCATACAGCGGTAGCTTGGCTCATGAACTTAATTTGTTTTACAATTTAAGTGACGATGGATGGCCATGCTTGTGTTTTTGTGGGGAAGATGGCCACAGTAGTGTTTCTCACCCAATGTGGCATTTGTAAATGGAAGCAAAATTTTGTTGAATACTTTTGAGAACCAAATTGTTTGCAAACAGAAGCATACGTGAACCAAGGTATTAATGTAATGAAAGCAGTAAATGAGGAATCAAACCAAAGTAGGAAGGGTTGGTGGGGGCCTATGCCCTGGAAGTGTTGAGCTCTGAGCCAGGTGAATATTATTGGTCAAGAAAAAATTGTAGGAGGGAAGATTAGTAGTAGCTTTGTTATTCACAAATAGCAGAATTTAGGGCAATAAGGGAGATGCCATGCTAACCCTTCACTCACACTTGGGAGGATGTTCAAGGAGGGTTAAAGGTCTCCAAAATAAAGTCCTGGCATC